TTTTTAAGTGTACAGCTCAGTACTGTTAAGCACACTCACACTGTTGGTGTGTTTCAGTTCTTTTCAGAACTGAAAATAAAAAAGATTAAAAATTTTAAACTTTGTTCATTAAAGAATAGTAAATGTAAAAAGTCAAATGACAATGTGAGAAATTACACATAAAGGAATATCAGAGGGCTGGAATTGTGACTCAAGTGTAGAACTCCTTATCTTGCAAAACTGAAACTCTATACCCATTTAACAGCTCTGTATTTCCTTCTCTCCAGCCCCTGGCAACCACCATTCTCATTTATGTTTCTAGAACTACTCTAGGTACCTCATAAATGAGATCATACAGTGTTTGGTTTTTATGACTGGCTTGTTTTACTTAGCCTAATTTACTCCAGGTTCATCCATGTTGTAGTACATGTCAGAATTTCCTGGGCTTTTAAAGATGGAGTACTAGTTAATTGTGTGGATATACCACATTTTGTTATCCATTGCATTGATGTCAGGAATCTCCAGTCCATTTTGCTTTGGTTATTTTGGAGATGGAGTCTTGTGAACTATTTGCCAAGGCTGGCTTTGAAACTCCTACTTCCGAATCTCAGCCTCCCAAGTAGCTAGGATTATAGGCATGAGCCACCTGCACTCGCCTTGATGTCAGTAATGCTTTTAAAAGCCTATTTATTATAATGTATCCAATTTAGTAGTTTGCACCAGGCAGACTTTTCAGAATTCCTAATTCACTACATTGATTGTAGCACAAGTAGCACAAACCCTCGCAGACAGGACTGTAAAATAGGTACAGTGTGTGTGGGGGAGTACTTGTGGGAGGGGGGGAGGGTGAATGAAGGAGATTTAGGTGAGGGTATATGGTGGATGAACTTCATATACTTATATGAAATAGAATAAAGAAACCTCTTGCAATTGCTTTAAGTGGGGCAGGGAGAGGATAGAGCAGGAGAGTAATCTAACCAATATACAATATAAGCCTACTTGGAATTGTCACAATGAGTCCCCCTGTACATTGAATATATTGTAATAAAAAATAAAAAAAAATCAGGAAGACCAAGAAGAAAAATAATATGAGGGGATTTCATCATGATGATTTCATACATTTGTACAGTGTATACCTTGAATACATTCACACCATCTGTTTTATTTCCATTTCCCTCTTCCTCCTCCTCCCTTTTGCAAATAGTATGTGGTGGGTTTCATTCTTCTGTCTTCAGTACAGATGCATCATCCTTTCATCCTCTTCACCCCTCAGCGTCCTTTCCTTTCCCCCCGCCCCCTCCTACTAATGGAAGCAGCCCAAAGATTTTTTTCCCACCATACCCCAATTATATTTAAAAAGAGAATCTTCTGCATGGAAAAAACTATTTGCTAAGTCAAGAGCAAAGTACAAACTGGGGGAAAGTATTTGCAATTCATATCCTAGCAACGGGCTAATGTTCTCAACACAATGAGCTCCTCCTACAAATTGAAGAAGAAAAGAACCAATAGAAAAATGAGCAAGGTCCTGCTATGTCTATTAAGAAATACAGATGGTCCTTAAATATACAAAAACCATATTTTTCTTTCTTTTTATTGGCACTTCTGGAGGTTGAACTCAGGGTCTTGTGCTTGCTAGGCAGGCTCTCTACTGCTTGGGCCGTGCCCGCAACCCTACTACAACCATAATCAGAGAAATGCAAATTAAAACTGTACTAATATCGCAATTTTCTCTCCTCCTCCTTCTTCTCCTTTTTCTTTGGCAGTGCTGTTTTTTATTTTTTATTTTTTATTGTTGTTGCATACATGTGTATACATTATTTGGGCCACCCTCTCCCCCCAGAACTGGGGTTTGAATTCAGCGCTTCATGCTTCCAACACAAGCGCTCTACTGCTTGAGCCATGCCTCTAGCCCTTTTTGCTCTGGTTCTTTTGGAGATGGGTTCTCAGTGAACTATTTTCCTGCACTGGTTTAGAACCTTGTTTCTCCCAATCTCAGCCTCCCAAGTAGCTAGAATTATAGTCATGAACCAAGGGCATCCAGTTCTTTGCCCTTCTTAATTGGCAAAAATCCATACATTTTGTTGGGGAGAGTGTGTGGGATAAATAGGCACTTTCACAGGTTGCCCACATTTTGGTAGAGGCAACATCTATCAACATTACAAATATATATCCTCTTTGCCCAGCATTGCACTCTGGGAATTTTACCTCAATAATAAAAAACAGGTTTTATACGACTAATCACTACAGTATTGCTTGATTAACAGACAAAAACAATCAAAGAGTCTACCATTTTGGCACTGGTTACATAGACTGTGGCAGAAGCACCACCTGTGGGCACCTAGTTGGTTCTGGTAAGGCCAGTGTGTAAGGCCTCAGGCCACAGCTAACCCTCAGTACATTTACATCCTGACTGTGTGCTGGAGTCTAGGAGGTTGGGCCTGATGAAGAGGCTTGTACCCAGTGAGGAAGAGCCAGGGGTTCAGGCAGGGCTGTTTCTCCGTGAAGATGGAAGAGTCTGAGTAACCTTGGTGCCACCTTCTGTCTCTGGGTAGCCCTCTACTACTTCCAACACAATACACCATCAAAAGGGATCCTTAAACAGCTGGGAGCAGAGAGCGCAAGGAAAATGGAAATTAGCTTACCTCACAGTCTTTCTTGACAAAAGTACTACTCATCCACACATGCACTGCATTAAGAACAAATGTCTTCTCTGCAGCCTGATCCTGCTGGACCCTCAGACCTATTGAAAGGAATCTAACAATTTTCTTCCTTTATCCCCATGATTGGTTGAGAGAAAAGTAAGACTTTCTACCACCAAGGTTGTGTTTTCACTGCAGCTCCATTTCCAGCCTGTGTTCAGCTGCGGAGTGGATGAGTGCAGAGATGTGGAGTTGGGGCGTTTATTTCCAGTTTCTGGGCTGAGGTACTGCTGTGGATTGTTACCGGAGGACTAGGAGCTAATGGCCTGTGCAAATCAGCATGTTTCCAATTCCATGCTAACAGAGCAGTAAATTTTGGAGTTCACTGACCTACAGTGGGCATCAGATGACCTAGAAAATGGAGCCAAATGCCTCTACTCCCGAGGCATGTTCCAAAATGAGTTCTAACCTCCATTTCTGGAATGTCAGGTGATGGGGAGGAAAGGATGGATTGCCCGTGAGGAAACAAGAAGTAGCTTTCAACCTTGTGACTTTGTTTTACTAGGAGACCCTCCAAATAAAGAGAAAGGTGGAGTATTCACAATATTGATATACACAAATCCCTTCAGATAAATGTGAATTTAGATGCTTGCAATATTCCAGCATACTTGAAAATCCCTTCCCGCAGTCATCGCAAACGTGAGGAAATATTTTAGTATGCTCAATAGCAACATGCCTGTTAACATTTGTATGAAGTCTGCTCCGAAAACCACATACTTGACACACAAAGAAGTTTTTACATTTGTCAAAGGTAATTTTGCTTAAGAGGCTATACTGTCCGTGCTCTCCATTGTTAAACTTATCACTCAATTCTATCAGTTTACATGCGTGCTCATTTACCACATGGCTATGCAAGTCTTCTGGATCATTCGTTTCATGTTCACAGAACTGACACAAGTACTGTTCATCAAACTGTGCTCCTGGAAATGTAGGTAGAGCTCACTGCTGGAGGAGAATTGCACGTCACACTGCTCACACCAGTACAGGTGATCGCTAAAGTGGATGTCTGCAATGTGCTGACTGAGGTTCTCAAAAATCACGGTCTTATCGTCACAGTATTTGCAGATGTAAGGGTCCTCTTCATGGAGCTTGGCATGCTCGATCAGAAGCATGTTGGTAGAGAAACTTTCCTTGCACACTCGACACACGTTTGAGTCAGTACGTTTATGTTTCAGGATCATATGCTGCTTTAAATCAGAAAAATATTTACTGTTGAATTCACAAAGCTCACACTTATAGAGGCCACTGCTATTAGTCTCAGCAAAGGCCATTTCTGCTGGGCAGTCACATTCAAAGCCTGGCTCTTGTCCAGGATTTTACAGAGTTTAGCCGGTGGCTCTTCATCAGTTTGGTCTTGGAGGCTTTCAGAGGAATTGTTTTCTGTCTCTATGTCGTAATCCTCAGAAATTGCATGCACTTCCATGGCAATTGGAACATCTTCGGAGGTGTGAACATCTGTAGGACTCTCCTCTTGAGTTTGCTGGTGGACTGATTCAGGTGAGTCACATTCTTCATCACAGATTTCAAAATCAGCAGATTTTTCTGAAAAAAAAAACTATTATATTACTATTACTAAATAAAACCTACTAGATAGATACAACAGTTCAAAAAATGGTTATGGTATATGCTGTTTTTTTCATTGCAGCATACAAAATATGCCAATGCTATTAATTAGTTTCCCAGCCTGCAGAAAAGGCAGTGTGGTTTAGAATTCAAAGTGTAGGACTGAGAACCAGGTAGCTCTGTTTTCTGTTTCCTCCCTTGATTCTATCTGCAAATTTTGGCAAGTCATTTGATGTCTTGGTATCTTTGTCATCAAAATATTTTAAGTCTTAGACTGGAGATGTAGTTGAGCACCTGCCTAGCTCGCCTGCCCTGAGTTCAAACCTCAGTTCTGCTCCCCCCTACCAAAAGTAAAAATATTTTAAGTCTTGCTGTCTCATAGATCAGACTTGAACAATGATCAGGAAAAATTCCATTGGCTTGATCTTTAATTCTGCTTACTCTAGAGTCATCTGAGTATTAAGAAGGGTGTGAAATCTTTCTTTTCTTTTTATTGAGGATACTCATCCATCTTCTCAATTTAGCATAATCCTTAATACTGGAGTGATGGAAAAGGAATGACTTGGCAAGGCCGGTGTTTAAGTGGCATCTCTAAGAACTCGAGATAGTTAAGTTGGCATGTGAAGATGGGTTCCTGATTTCCACATCAGATATGGAAAATAAAATACACCAGAAAGGAATGAAGGGATCACAGCCAGAGCTAGTAAAATGTGGGCTCATGACTAGCTGGCATTCATTCAGACACTCAGTAAGTTTGTATCAAGCATCCGAGATGTGAGACACAGCACCATGTGCTAAACTGAAAATTGATGAGACATTGTCCATTGTTCCTAAAAGCACGTTCTCTTAGGGGAGGTAGAAATCAATAATCCCTGGAATGTATACACCTAATCAAAAGTAAAATTCAGAAAGCTGTCTTTGGTCATCATTCCCTTTTCCTTTCTATTTCCCTCAGGGTCTTGTTCCCAGATAGCTGTTAGAATCTTCCCCATGAGGTCATCTGCCCTTCTTTAAAAATATTTTTTGTTGGTAGTAAAAGTAAAATATGTTCATCAAAAACAATTCAGAGAACACAGGATATAAATGAAAATAGCAATCACTCATAATCTCATTATCTGGGACAAAGTTTGCTCATGTTTTGGTGTTTAGTTATCCATACACATTTCTCTGCATATCCATCTATCATCTAGTTTACAGAAATTATGTATACATATTGTTTTCTCCACTTAATAGATCATGGACTGTTTCCATGGCATTAACACAGATCTACATCCTTAAACAGCTTATTCAGCCATTGTGTGGCTGAATAGCTATTTGTTTAACCTGAACTTTGCAGCTGGGGATACTTCAAGGCTGTTTTCTAAGCATGCATATTCAGAAAGTCCACTCTGTGTGATGTTATGGAATCAGAGGAACTTGTCAAAAGAACAAGAACAAAAAGATACAATATATTATTTATTTCAAAAAGCAATTTCAGGAATGAGAGAGTTAAAAGGAAGTAAAAAAGAAATGGAAGATGAAATTTTGTTTTTATTTTATTGCAGATGAAATATAATTTCTTGCAAATGAGAGTTGACCATTTTATTCTTTTAACCCTAGGACAATGTCTAAAACTAATTAGGGCAAAGAATCAAAGTTTCTGCAAGAGTACTCTCCACCCACTGTTTATGAACCTGTAATAAGTATACTGAAGAACAGGCGCTTCCTGGCAAGTTGACTATTGGGGTGTCAGTTAAGGAGGGAGTCCACTGATCTGTTCTTCCATTGATAAGGGAGTTAGAAGTTCAGTGTGGCTCATGGATACCGAAGTGTACAGGAATAATGACCCTGACACATGAGAAGGCAGGAAATTGTGCAGGGCTGTTCTGAACCTGGTTGGTAGTAAATGGGTTGGAGTTTTTGGAATATGAAAGGGGACATGGTAGTCCCATGGGATAAGCAGTTAGGATTATAAAAATAGCTTGTGCCTGGCTGGCTTGAAAAACCAAGAGAAAGTGCAAACTGAGGTGTGCTGAGAAAGAGGTGGATGTCTGCCTCCAGAGGACTGCGATGTTGGAGGAAACTATGAAGAGCAAGAAGAGGCGGAAGAGCAGGGTGTCTACCCCATGGCTGAACTGCACCCATAGCTCCACCAAGTGCTGCTTCCAGGCCTCAAGTTCCTACCATGCCCTTGCTGATTCATGGCACCTGAATCAGCTAAAGTTCTTCCTCTCTGGGGACTGCACTTTCCTCACCAAGCCTTCTGGCTCCTTCAGATCTGTGGAGGGTGACAGAGACTCAGTGCTGGGCTGAGAAGTTCACCTGGGGAGGGAAGGGCACAGGAAGGGAGGTAGGAGCAGAGAAGGGCAGGATGGGAAGAGGAAGTGGACAGTGCTGAGTTCCCTCACCAGGCAGGTGGGTGGGGGTGCACCCTGGGTCCTGATTCCCTTGCAGGGTGCAGGGAGGCAGCATTTCCTTGAACTGGTGCAGTGCAGCAGCAGGATGTGGAGTCCCCGAGGCATGGGTGGGGACAGCGGGTAGGTGATGAAGATGGTCTCCAGCAGGCTGGCCACCATCAGGGACAGACACAGGGCAAAGTAGACACCTATGGGCAGAGCAAATTATAAATAAACCTGGACTGATTCATCTCTAAACCTTCTTCAGTTTCTTTCTCAATCCAGGGTTTCCCCCAGAAGCCCTTCTGTCCTTAAGTGAAGCACCAGTCAGTTCTCCTGGCTCCTCCCTGTCCCCTGCTGCCTTTGCTTCTGTAGAAAGTGGGTGGGCTGTACTCATGGGGTTGCCGCTGATGGGGAATAAGTCATTCATCATGACCAGGAAGACACTGTAGCCCAGCAGGTGGTTCATCTTGAATGGGGCACAAGTCGAGATTTTCCTGTTCTGCTAACAGGTAGAGATTGAGGACATGGATGGTCACCAGAAAGCCATTGGACACCAGGAGATATATGACAAAGGGGTTGAGCCTGTGCCTGATGGCCACCTGTTTAAAGAATGGAGATTGTGGTACATAAATTGATGCCAGAAGACTCAAGTTGGATACTGGACTACCTAATCCTTGCCAATATACTGGTAAGCTGGATATGGGACAATCTCTTTAGGCAGCACACAAGTATTTAATTGTGCCCTTCCTTGAAAGTGCCACCTATTTGTCATCTAATTTTTATTTTGAAGCTGCCAGCAACACAATGACTGTAGAATTTTTCAGGGCCATTAGGGCCCTTGGATCCATGAAATAGTTGCCTGCTCCATGCCAACCAGTAGTTCTTACACCAGCCAGCTGCTTCTCCCTCTGTGGGGATGGGGAGGGTGGGGCGCTCTTGAGGGCTTGAGGATACTGCTTCAGGGCAGTTAGGTGAGGGGGAGTAGGTGCTTCACCTTCTGGAGTTTCTTACTTCTAAAGAGTCTTAGATCAAGAACATCGCTGAGCACCTGGGATCAGAGGTCAGACTGGGAGCTAGAACATGATATGGTCACACAAGTTCTAACCATGGCATCTTTGCAATGGCCTCAGGAGCTCCCTCTCTCCTTGAGTCTGAATGATGCTTCCAGAGAAATCTGTTATCTTGTCCTTATTCGTGTCGAATTGCATGCTATCCACTGCAAGAAGGCTGGTCAGCTCAGGTCAGAGAGGTTTCCAAGCCTACTTTCCACAAAACTTGATTCTTCCCCCACTGAGCTTCTTCAATATATTTTCATTTCAGTCCTTTTTAAAGCAAGGCACTCAGGTTTTCTCAGAAGTGGGCACCAGGACTAGCAATTCATATGTGTGTGGGTTGCACCACTGATTTTTGTGGTTGTTGTTAAAAACAATAGTGAGTCGGGGTCATTATGGGAATATTAGATATGACTCAAACATGAGTCAAGAACTTCTGGAGCCAGTCCTATTTTCCTTCTCAATTCCCCAGTTTGTGTGATCTTGCCTTAATGGAATGAAACTTGAGCAGTTCAACACTTTTATAATTACATGCATGCCCATTATAATTAGTTTATTCAAATCTGCCACATGCTGTCTGGTGGAATATAGTTACAGTAAGCTGATTTGAGTGTGTTAGCCATTAAAATTAAAAGATTTGAGCCAAAAATTATAGGTGGGCAACTGCTCAGGGTTATGTGGCCTCATTTGATGCAAGGGCCATCCAAGATGTAAAGCCCTGATTCTTAACCTTGTACACATTAGCATCACCTGGGGAGATATAAAAACTAAATGAAATTGGAATCTCTGAGGTGGTGTGCAACTATTGGTACTTTTAAAAAGCTGTAGTAGGCAGACAGAGTTGAGAAACTGTGACCTCAAATCTTCCCTAAAAATACCTACACCATTTAGACATCTTCCTCTTAATCTTAAACAGCTCTTAAAATGTATCACCTTTACCTGTGTAGAGCAAAGAACTGAGGGTAAAGGTACAGTTTCTTTTGTCAGAAGGGAAGTAGAATATGTCCAGGTTACAGATGCTGGTTACTCCTATTTTCGTAACTGTATTTGACTTGACCTTCACTGCTGACATAGGCAAGTAGTTGATCCACATTCGTGCTGTTTGGGAAAGTGAAGGTACTCCATCAGCTTCTGTCTCCATTTCCAGGTCTCCTCTTGGGTTCTTTCTCTCATGTCCCTTTACATTGCCTCTTCTACTCCTTACTGTTTTGTGGAGGTCAATGGTGGAAATTGTGCCCTTGTCTGACTCTTGGTGGTCCTGTGCACTGCAGGGGGCTGTTTTCTGCAGATGGGGCTTCATACTGGTGTCTGCTAGCCCAGACACATGCTTCCATGATGAAGATGTCAGGTTTTTAGCTGAGATAGTGAGTTTTTTGAGGTCACTACGCACTTCTGGGTTCCAGTAGAGGAAAGGATTGTCACACATCTGCAATCAGTGAAGTGAGAAACATAATTGTGATTATGTTCAGGCAGCCCTCTTGCCATCTCATTCTTCTCTAAACCCTAATCCTCCACTCCTGGTTATGTCCCTAACAACTACAGCCTATCTCACTATTTGTCCTCAGTAAAGGATGGATCTGGCAGATTTTGCATGAGAAGAAAAAAAAACAGGAAAAGAATAGAGTGCTGCCAGTACTTAAGGGCATTTAAAAAAAAAAAACAGGAACATCTTGTTTTGTTTTTGTAGGACTGGGATTTGAACTCATGGCTTTGTACTTGCAAAGCAGACACTCTACCACTGGAGCCACACCTCCAGTCCATTTTGCTCTGGTTATTTTGGAGATGGGGGTCTGGTGAACTATTTTCCCAGGCTGGCCTGGAACTTTCAGCCACCTGATCTCAGCCTCTCAAGTAACTAGGACTACAGATGTGAGCCTCAGGTTCCCAATGGCCTAAACCCACATGGAGTCAGAAGTGCACCATATTGGCCTGCAGCACATGGCCACTTTAGGGGGTTGTCATTTCTACTTTCTTAAGTTGCCCAGGATATTTGCCAAGTCTAAATGGAGCTATTTTGTACCAGAAAGATTTATATCTTGGGTACAGGTTTGGACTAGAAAACTTTTAAGTAACTTCTAACTCCTCAAATTTAAAATTATAATTGGAAGTGGGAAAGGAATTGTTGAGTCTGCCTTACTGTCTATCCACAGGATAGACTGCATTCTGATAAAGAAATTCTCATCCAGGATTATTCGTGCAAAAGATTTAGGACATGCCTGCTTCATATTCTCACCATTATTCGCTAACTTATTGGGCAGGCATAGTTCCAGATGTTGGACTATCTTTTCCTTATCACTTGTGTCTAGGGCAGTTCAGATTCTAGTTGACACACAGACCACTTCTTTCTGGAGCACCACAGAAAGGATGGGACTTGAAGACAAATGCTTCCTAAAAACAAAAAAAAATCACTACAGCACCATTTTTCTCCATCCTCCCCATTCCATGAGAAAACTGTCAAATTTGTGCAAAATCCATTTGGATTTTCAACATTTCAGCAAAATGTTGAATTTACAGGACAGAGCATCCTTGTGCCATATTCGAAACTATGGAAAAGATGGAGACACCAAGTGCTCACTTCCAGAATGGCAGACAGGGTGCAGGAGATGTCGACATGAGTGGGGGTGATGTAGTTGAAGTCTGAATGCAAGGCCTCTGGTAAAATGTAGCCTGGAAAGCAGCAGAGCCCACTCTGTGCTGTTCAAGCCTTTGAAGCTATTTGTGAATGTGTAGAGAGCAGAGGCCCTGTGAGCGAAGGCCTCAGTTTCTAGGGCTGGAGGAGCAGCTCTGCAGGAAGACAAAATAGAGGAGCAGCAGAGTCCTCTTCCTGGGTCATACTTCCAGACTGAAGCCCTTCCTGCTAGTGTTGGGAAGGATGGGCTGTGTTGGTAGGCAAAGGATAGCAGTTGATGTGGTAAGCCAAGTACTCGATTCTTATTCGTATTGTTTCCTTCTCATGCAAAATCTTCCCAAATCTGTATGCAAACTTGGTCTTAGCACGATGGCCAAGTGCAGTTTAGTGAGTCCTTTGTTTTGTTTTGTTTTTTTGGCGGTACCGTGGTTTGAATTCAGGAAACTCATGCTTGCTAGGTAGACACTTTACCTTGAGCCACTCTACCAGCCCCCTTTTTTGTGCTAGATACTTTTGAGATAGGGTCTCATGAACTATTCTGAACCATGATCCTCCTGATCTCTGCCTCTTTAGTAGCTAGGAGTACAGGTGTGAGCAGTGAGTCCTTTATTGTAGCTATGACAAGCCTCTGGCTCCACCTACTAGTGGCATCACTTAGCACTGCCCTAAAACGTGTAGTCCAGGTTACTTAGAAATCTTCTCTAATATTTCTCTTCCTAACTCCTAGGGACTTCTGTGTATGGAAGGCAAGAACTAATTTATCCAGAGGATAAGAAAATAAAAGACTGCCTTTCCTGGGTAGACTCAGGAAATTTCTGGAGGGTATTCCGAATGGGTACTTACCTTAGTGTCTACCTTGGTGCTATGCATTTATTCTCTTTCACATTTAGTGGCTCAGACATTCTATGGGTTATTTCCAGTAACAGGAATCTTGAAGTGACAGCACTGAGCATACATCCTATGTCCAATCACAAAGAACTACCCACTTGGGTAGTTCCTGAGCAGGATCTTTGCCCCGTTACCATCTTAGTAACCTTTTTTTCTGCCTCATTCTTTAGATTTCCATCTTTTTTCTATAATGTTGAAGGTATATTTGCAGATAGGGAACAAATGTCCTCTCATGGAAGCAAAGTATCTACTCCTTTTACCTCAAATAGATCCTTCCCTCAGTGTTTTTGTTAATACTTGCAAGCATGTTTAAAGCCAGTAGGAAAGTACAGGACAGAGGGCTACAATATATGTTCCTGCTCTTAATACCATATTAGTGCTCATAAATACTGTATCCAGGTGAAAAGAGACAAGGAGTAGGGTAAGTGTTGGACAGGACACAGGAAGTCAATGAAAGGATAGAATCGGAGGAGCATGCAATGGAACCATCTGGAAAGTCCCTATGTGGGCAGAACTAGAGAAAATCTGTATGTACTCATCAGTGAAACATCTGTCACCAAAAAGAAATTCAAGAGGTGGACATTATAGAGGAATAGTTGGTATGTTAACTCTGAATGTTCAGGTGCCAACAGGATGTCCTGCAGAGCACCATTTGGGTCTTTCCTGACCTTGTCCTGTCTTACTGGGAAGCAGAAAGCTGACAGTGAGGCAGAGGAGGAATCCCCCATAGCAGACCACCCCTTCCATCCTCCTTTTTTGGTCTTTTCTCTGGACACTGATAAGAAACTCCTTCCAACCCCGGCCCATAAACACAAAAAATCTTTGAGCTTAAAGGGAGCTCACACCACATCTTGGTTCCTGGTTTTGAATACTGCTCATGTCAGGTGACCATTCTCTAGTGAGCTGTGGCCAGAGGTCACAGCAGCGCCTGCTTTGCCCCTGCCCAGGTATGTCTTCCAGGCCTCCAAGTGGGCACACAGTTGGGCCAAGACTAGAGAAGAAGAATCCTATTTGGCAGCTCTGTACTGAGATGAATAACAAAATAACTTGCTTTAATAAGAGCGTGTGGGCAAGGGAAATAAGGTTTCTATCTTCCAAGACCATGGAATCTGAAGATTTGGAAAGACAGCAGTATTCAGTGATTTGGTTATGAATAGTAAAGTGTCTTACAGCTTTTTTTGGCATTGGGGATAATTCCAAATACCAAATGATAAAGCTTGCTTCATACCCTCATTATCTATTGTCTATGTTTTTCCAATAGCTTCTCACTAGATTTCCTCTTTCCAGTCTCTCCACCTTCTGATGCATTCTTACCAAACCAAGTTCTCCATTTCAGTTTTTATGATGTGCTTAATAGGAGTCATAAAATGAACATAGCAAAGCTCTTTTTAACACCTTTCTGTTGTCAGAAATGTCACATGTTACCATAAACTGGTAATTCTAGCCAAGATCAATATTAGTGGCATGTGTTAATATTGTGTCATATTTGCATTAAAAACAATTAAACTGGATGGGTAAATTGGAATATTTTTATATTAAGTATCTTAGTTACACTGCCAGAAAGACGTAGACATTTTTTCCTTGCAGAAAGGGGGAAGGGTCAGACCTAGAATATAAAAGAAACTTTGTTCAGAATGGAAGATCATGGCTGCCCTAAATAGAAAATGCTGAGACAGGCAAGAATGACTTAGAGGCCCGAAGTAGGTAAGCACAGAAGAGAGGGCTGCAATATGTTCCATTTGAGATTTGCCATATCTGCAGTCCCTGAGCCCTACCAGCTTTGTAAGTAATTTCTTTCCTGCTTTGGAAACTTGGCCAGCCTAAGGCAGAAGTTGAAGGGAAAGGATGAAATGGAGAAAGAGAAGAAGAAAGGTAGAAGGGAGAAGGAGAGTTGTTGCAAACCCTGCTCCAGGTTTAGGGTTCCTTTATGTGACTTGAAAGGGTTTATCCAGGAGGTGAGTTAGCATTTAGCAGCATGAGGCACTGGCTAGTCCAAGAACGAAGCTGTTAGGAGAGCTCAATGGAGCACCTGGCCTACTGCAGATGCTTTCCAAACTGGGAAGACAGGTGACCCAATCCACAGTGCACTTTTAAGCAAGTCAAACAAAGGTGTGCCAGTGGACAGATTTGGAAGGTCATGCATGGCATTAGCCCACCCAAGAAGTAAATGGAAACAAATGAGATTTTAAGCCTGACAGAGCAGCAAAGTATACCCTAAGACCTTTGATTTTAGATGAGAATACAAGGCAGAGATTTGGGAGAGCAGAACTCCTGGAAAAATGGGCTATTACCTGAAGAGTGGCTTTTTGCTTCAAAGGAAGGGCCTGGGGGCTGAGTATGACTGAATAATCAGGCAGAGATTGAGCACAGGTCTGTCCTTTAGATTGCACCCATTAGGTCATCTGGGACCAAAGTACTGCTATGTCTGTGTCCACTGAACACACCCTTGGGGTGTTGACTCTGGCTGACAGAGTGAAGGACTTCTGAGGAAGAAATGCTGGAGAGTTCCATAGGTAGGTTGGGGTGCCGACCTGGGGTTGAATCCCTGCTGAAAGGTTCCTGCAGACAGTTGATGTACATCTTGCTTTTGTTGAGACTGACTGAAAAACCGGAGTAGGCCTAGGTCTATAGGTTGGGCTTACAAGCATATTCAACTGCCAGGAGATGGAGACAATGGAGGAACGAGAAATAAGGCAGCCAGGCAAGGACTCACAGCCTTTCTGGTTTCTACTCTGCGTTCTAGAATCTCAGGTGCTATTGCTATTGCTGCCACTGCTGAGGACAGTTGACATATTGAACACCTCACCATGTTCCAGGCATTGAGAAGTGTCTATGTAGAAAAAGGAATAGAGCCAACTAAATAAAAAGAAGACAATTTGGCTTTGTATTTACTGACCGTAGTTTAGAAGATACTAAATTTGAGGAAAACATAAAATCTGACATTAGCCAAAAGAATTAGACACAATTCTTAATCATCTTGACAAAAAACCTAAGATGATGAATTAAAGACTATTTTCAAATAAAGCAATCAAATTATAGTGCTTAACATAACCTGGGTTCCATATTTATAATAGTTACAGTTTATAACAAGCTATGAGTCATAGTTTTTTTTAAAGGAAATGGCAGAGTACAAAGACAATCTAAGAATGGGAGAAAATATTTGCAAGCCATATATCTGGTAAGAGATTACTATCCAAAATATATAAGGAACTCCTGACATTAAATAGCAAAAAAGCCCCAAATAATCAAATTCAAAAATGGGCAAAGGGAGCAGAGATAGTAGCACCTGCCTGCAATCTCAGCTTCTCCAGAGGTGAAGGTAGGAAGATGGCAGTCTAAGGCCTGCCTTGGGCTAAGACCCTATCTGGAAAAACACTAAAAACAAAAACAAAACCAGCAAAAGGACTAGGGGTACGGCTCAAGTGGTAGAGTGCTTGCCTAGCAAGTACAGAACCCTAAATTCAAGTTCTAGTACTGAAAAGAAAAAAAAAAGGGCAAAGGACTTGAGCAGACATTTCTCCAAAAAGGACATGTAAATGACTATCAGGTATATGAAAAAATACATAGCATTGCTAGTGATCTGGGAGATGGAAATTAAAATCACAATCGAGATATCACCTCACACTTATTAGGGCAGGAGAGAGAGAGAGAGAGAGAGAGAGAGAGAGAGAGAGAGAGAGAGAGAAGGAAAGGAAGGAAGGAAGGAAGGAGAAGAAGAAAGAAATAGAAAAAAGAAAGAAAGAAAAAAGATTAAAAGCAAGAAAGATAACAAGTGTTGGTGAGTACATGAAGTCAAACACTTGTACATTGTTAGTGGGAATAAAAAAATGGCACAGCCAGTAAGGGAAAAAGTATGGCAGTCCCTCAGAAAATTAAAAATAAAATTGCTACATGATTCAGCAATTCCAATTCTGGGTATGAATTTAAAAAAATTGAAATTGGGACTTCAAAGAGATAGATGCACTCTCATGTTTACTGCATCATTATTCACAGTAGCCAAGATTCAGAGAACAAAATAACTGTCCATCAAAGGAAAAATGGATAAAGAAAATGTGCTATATACTTACAATGGACTAGTATAAAGCCTTAAAAAAGGAAATCTTGTCATGTAGGACAAGGATGAGTCTGGAGGACATTATGCTAAGTGAAATAAGCTAGTCACAAAAGAATAAATAGTGCACGCTTCCATTTATATGAGATATCTAAAATAATCAAACTTATAGAAACAGGCAGAATGGGGGTAGCCAGGGACTGTAGGAAAGGAGGTGGGGAGTTGCTTTTCAATGGTTATGAAATTTCAGTTATCTAAGATGAAGATACAGCTACAGTGAATAATACTACTTTGTGTACTTAAAGTTTTGTTAAGAAGGTAGACCTCATGTTAACTGTTCTCACCACAATAAAATACAATAAGAACTTGCATAGGTTTTGCTTGTTTATTTGCTTGTTTGTTTTGGCAAGGACACTGGGTCTCTTGGACCTTCAGACTCATTGGGATGAGCAGGGAACGCACATCCCAATGATTTCCACACTGGGCAGCCCTCTCTCAGACCTACAAGCCAGCCCTTGGAATGCTGCTTAGGAGACACACTTGTGATGATGCCTAGCTCTCTTGGAGTTCCTGCCAGGAGACAGTCCTTTGTTATGATGTGACTTGGATAGGTGGTGCTGGCTGTGCTGCCTCCCCCTTCCCTTCTCCAGTAGGCTCTCAGAAAGGGGGTCCAGCCATGTTTAGACAGAGCTTTGGTACCTGGGGAATAATTTTCTATGGTCATTGGAAATGCCTGTCCCCTACATTCTCTAGAATATCCTGAGGAGTCTCTAGGATTCCCGTTCTTACTCTTGGTACCTGTCTCTCCAAAGCCATGCTGTAGGCTTTAAGGTGGTTCAGAAGCTCTTAACTGACTCAGGGGTCATTGTAGGAGGACCAGGGTCTTTCTCCTCACCCTCTTTTCTTTCTCTGGGTCTTTCTCCTCACCCTCTTCTTTCTCTGGGCATCACTGAGTCCTCTATCCTGGGTTCACATATCTCTTAGGTTCTTGATTACTCAGACAGAATATTTAGACATGAAAACTCTGAATTTGGGCTGTATCTGCCTTCCTGGGCAATTCCAGGGCCAGTTAAGACTCCTGAGAGCCCGAGCAGTTTAGAACAGGTTTCTTAACCCAGCGCTGCTGGCATTTGGGACTGAAAAATTCTTTGTTTGGAGGGTTGTCTTATGTGCTGTAGGATGTCTGGTAGCCTCTCTAACCCACCCTCTCTCCTCCCAGTTGTAAGCTTTAATAATCCATTAGTAATATCTCTAGACATTGCTGAAATTTCTCCTAGGGGTAAAATTGACTGTTATTGAGAATACCTGGCAACTTGGATCCTGAGAATTTAGCACTTAAAAAAAATCTCAAAGAGATTCTTCTAGATTTCAGTGTATTGAATATGCCATTCATTAGCCAAAGGAGGAAATTAGACCTTTACTGTGTGCAAGACAAAATAAGGAATTAAAAATTATTGCTGGAGGGTTGGGAATGGTGGTGTGTTCCTGTAATTCCAGCTACTCCGGAGGCAAAGACAGAAGGATTGCAGTGCAGATGGATGGCAGTCACACACAGAGGGCATTGGCCAGGGCTAAGGAACCAGGAGTCCAGAAGGCAGCCAAAGTACCCACAGCTCAGGATGGGCCACTATCTGGGAGGAGGCTGCTGTGATGCCGGGGAGCAAGAGAGTGGGAGGGTGGTGGGAATCTAGAGAGGCACTTGAGAAATGAACCCCGTGGACAAGCCTTTACCTGTGGCTGCCTTTTTATAGGCCTCAGCGCTGACACTGGCTCTGTTGAATTGCAACAATCCCATACTTGTCAGTTCACTTCTCTCTACTTCATTTTTCTCATCTGAAGAATGAGGGGGTTGAGTTAGAAAAAAATTAGACTTGTAATTCTTTATGTCTCTTGCCTCCCACCTAGAAGTCTATTTTGTACTTTAGGTCTCAGCCTGCATGAAAAATGGATGCTCTCCAGTGTTACACATTTAGCCTTTTAGATCCCGTAAACTTATGATTTTCAAAAGCACTAGTATAGACTTAATTTAATCCATGTTATTAACACCACTTTACAAATGAAGAAGTTTACATTTAACCTTAGTTAAGCCACTTGTCCAAGGTTACCCCACTAACAAGTGATGGAGTAAGATTAAAACCAAGGGTTGCCAAGTTTCAAAGTCTGTACTGTTCCACTTTCCCCTACTGTATAGAAGAACCAAGGCCAATGATCTAATAAGAGAGGTTATCAAGGAGAAAGTCAGACATTGGAGAGAAGAAAAAAGACATGCTTGAAATTAAATCTGTGGCTTCACATCCTAGAGTAGATTTGAAAGAAGGAGAAGGGGGAGCCAAGCTGCTAATGACATAAAAATATTCTACTGTCAGGCTTACAGAACCAAAAGAAAATGTAGAAGACATGGAGAAATACTGGTTTAGAGAACAGGAAAGTGAATAAAAATGTGTGCAAAACTACGGGACAGCACTATGGATGAATGGATAAGACGTTAGGCAGCTGTTAGGGAGAGAAAGACCATCAGATACAAGATGGAATAGGCAGAACCAACTACCTGTCAGCAGGTTTGTCTAAAGAGGTCATATATTACCCTGCAAAACCTTTCAAAGGTTTTCCAGGTAACAAGGACCACACAAGTGTGCCTATCATGATTCTGATGGTGGATCAGAAAGGCAGAAACCATATTTGTTAATTGTGTGGTGCAGCTCCAGTGGCAAAGGTTCTGTGGGATTATGGGTTGTGTGTTAGGATCACATACTGAGACTTTGCTTTTAGAGAAAACAAGATCACTATAATTCTTTCATGTCTTCTCTTACTAAAAGGAGATATAGACTCTTAATCCATGTGTCAAAAAAAGATGAGCTGTGGATTTCATATATGGTGATGAAAAGAAGCAAAGAAATATGTTCATAAAGACAAGTAGAGGGAAATGCTAAAAGATGATTTTAAATCCTTCAAAAACTGAGAAAATGAGCCAAGCCAAGAATGTTCCAGGGATGACAAACATCGCAGAGTAGGGCATAGGAATAGAAGATACAAAAGTATCTGGCAATACAATATAGATCAGTAGAGGGAACCCAGGAAAGATGGATTGCTTAGATTAGATTTGGGGAAATATATTCTTCAGAAAAGAATGGTGAAAGTATGTCAGTCTGTTTCTGTTGCTATAGCAGAATACCCAAGACTGAATAGTTATATACATATATACATTATATAGATATATGTAAAGCATATATGTATGTTACATAAATGTATATATGTATATTTATTTAGCTCATACTTCTGGAAGACCAACATCTTCTTGGCTTTGGCAAGGGTCTTGTGCTACTTTGACTCATGACAAAAAGCAGTTTAAGAGAAAAAAGTATGGGCAAAAGTATGAACAAAGGGGGAATGCTTTCTAACACCCTACTCTTGAAATAACGAATCCACTTTTGTTGGAACAACATTGATATTTTCATGAGAGCAGATTCCCCTGTGATTCATAATGCCTCTTAAAGGCCCTCCCACCTCTCAACATAGTTACACTGGGGACCAAGTCTCAATGGGAGCTTTGATGGGGACAAACCATGATCAAACCTTACATATGATACATAATTATTACCCTCTAAAGATCTGAAAAATTCCAAATTCTAAAACACATTTGACTTGCAGGGTGTATAGTTTCTACTTTGTAGGTTATAAAGGATTAAAGGTGTTAATTTCCATAATGCACTTAGAAGAGAGCCTGCGGTATACAGCAACTTCATGAGTGCTGACTATTATTATTATTACTGTCTCCTTTCTGATGGCACACCTCGTTGAAAGCTGTGAACTGCCAAGATAATAACAGATGCAGTAATTTATTTAGTTGAGTGTCAGGGCTCCCCATCTGGGCCTAGACTGTGTACACATTAGGTTTGGGACATGTTCTGAACATGCCTGGAGGGTGAGGGAATACCTGACAGGGTTCTAGAAATTGAGGAACCAAAGACCTTCCTGAAGAAAGGTTTAAAAAAAGAGGGTCCTAACAGAAGAATGAAGGGTCACAAATTTAAAGATCATGGGCCAGAGTAAAAGGAGGGATTGAGAGTACTGTAGGATATTTCTGACTCAATGCCCACATTCCTGCCAACTTCTGAGTCCCAGCAGAAGGAGCCTACAAGGAAAGAGCAAGTCATAGCTGGTCCTGTTGACTCAGCCTCCAGCTGGGAGCATCTTCAGCCACAAGACTCAGCCCTCTAGTGGCCTTGGCTCTGAGGGCAGATGCTTTTTGCGGTGAACATGGTGGACAGGGCCTTTAGTAGACTCTGGCAGTACTAGCAGCAGCACCTCAGGTGGACCCTGGCAATCTCATTACCCTTTTGGTACCTACAGGGACTAGAAGGGGCCACAGAAGTTCAAGGAAGAGCAGTAGAGTAGAGGAATGAAAGAAGTATTGTTTAGTGAACAATTCCGTAGCTCTGTTTTTATTCCTGGACTATTACAACCTGGCTTCAGAAAGAAAAAAAAAAGGTAATAGAAGCTAGGTAAGGTGGCACATACCTGTATTTCCAACTACTTGGGAGGTTGAGGTGGAAGAATCTCTTGAGCACATGGGCTTGAGACCACCCTGGGCAACGTGGCAAGTGTCCTGACCCCCAAAACATAGCAAAACAGAAAGTAGTAGAATAAACAAAAGAAAGGAAACAAAAAAATCACTTCTAAAAATACAGGACCATGTTTGAGTTGTAGCTAAGTTGCTCTCAAATCTATGATTTTCTGAACTTGGGTTGTCCAACAAATCGTACCACAACTCTCACATATAATGACACAGTGGAGTCTCTACTTGCCCAGGACAGCTAGTGGGTGAGATGGATCCATAGACAAAGATTTTCAAAATAGTAAGGCCTGGGGACTGGTGGAGTGGCTCAACTGGTAGAGCACTGACCTTGCAAGTGTGAGGACCTGAGTTAAAAACCCAGTAATTAAAAAAACAAACAAACAAAAAAAACCCAGTAATACACACACACACACACACACACACAAATTGACCAGTGTTAGGAAGGGGAATTTTCCACTTTCCATAGGGCATTGTTTTTCTCCCAAGTAAAGTAGGTGGTATTTTTCCTTGGCCTAATGTTCTTTTCTTAGCATGAATAGGAAGAGTAGATCAACTCGAATGGCAACACAGACACTGCTAATGGTAAAGCAGGATTATGTTAACACTCTAAGTGCTTAATGATGAATGAGTCATATGCCAGGCTGTGACAAAGGCTTTATTCTTTAAGCAAGAGAGCCCTTGTTCTGACACATTAATTTCTGAAGCTTAAATCCAGGGTAGCTGGATTTAAGAGGTTAATCTCTATTTTATTATAATCCCTTCTAATACATTTTAGCCTCTTCTTACTTCTCACTTTCACATGCTTGATACAATTTTAAATGAACACACAAGAAGGTCCTTTTTGTTTTGGTTAATCAGGAGAAAGTTTCTGCAAGAAGACGCTAAGCTCTGAGATTTCTGACTGTGGGAAGAGCCAGTACTTTCTGCAAGGGGTTTATTGGGGTTATTCCATCAAGAAAGTACTCTGGGAACCTGAATCCTGGGGAACCAAGGAGATAGGACTCACAGGAGACTAGGAGGAGTAGATGGCAGTTGGGAGCAAGGATCTAACTTTGGAGGTCAGGTCTGAAACTGTACAGAAAGACTGGTTTAAAATGAGATGCTTCCTAAAATCTGGAGAGGAATGAGAGCCTGGGTGGTTTCTGGAAGCAAGAGAAGCTCCTGACTGGGGTTTACAGATGGGCATCAGCCTAGGTGCTTGAGGCCAAAAACGTGATGACAAAGGAAGCCATGAAGAGTAAGTAGAGGCAGAAGAGCCGGGTATCCACCCCATGGCTGAACTGCACCCATAGCTTCACCAAGTGCTGCTTCTGGACCCCAGATTCCTACCATGGCTTTGCTGATTCATGGCACCTGTTTAGCTCTGCCTCTCTGGGGCCTGGCACTTTCCCCACCAAGTCTTCTGGCTCCTTCAGGCCTGAGGAGGGGGCAAAGACTCAGTGGTGGGCTGAGAAGGTCACCTGGAGAGGGAGGAGGACAGAGAAGGAGGTAGGAGCAGAGAAGGGCAGGATGGGAAGAGGAAGTGGGCAGTGCCGACTTCCCTCACCAGGTAGGTGGGTGGGGGTGCACCCTGGGTCCTGATTCCCTTGCAGGGTGCAGGGGCCAGTGTTTCTTTAGGTTGGTGCAGGGCAGCAGCAGGGTGTGGACCCCCTGCCAGGTGGAGGGTGGGTGGTGGCCAGGTGCAGCATGTAGGTGATGAAGATGGTCTCCAGCAGGCTGGCCACCATCAGGGAAAGACACAGGGCAAAGTAGACACCTGTGGGCAGAGCAACTTATAAATAAACCTGGGCAGATTCTTCTCTAAACTTTTCCTTCCTTCCTTCCTTCTTCCCTCCCTCCTTCTCTCTCTCCCTCTCTCCCTCCCTCTCTCCCTTCCAATTTTTCTTTCTCTCTGAAGGGTTTGAACTTAGGCCCTTATGCTTGCCATGCAGGCACTCTTCCACTTGAGTCATACCCCAAGCCCTTTTACTTTTGTTACATGTTTATACCAGGACTGACCTCAGATAACTATCCTCCCTGATTTTGCCTCCTAAGTAGCTAGGATTATAGGCATGAGCCACAGAGTCTGGCTGTAAACTTTTCTTCAGTTCCTTTCCCAAATCCAGTGTATTTTCAGAAGCCCTCTGTCCTTAAGTGAAGTAGTGGCCAGTTCTCCTGGCCCCTTCCTGTCCCCTGCTGCCCTTGCTTCTGTAGGAAGTGGGAGGGGCTGTACTCATGGGAGGGTGCCCCTCATGAGCAGGGAGACATTGTAGCCTAG